CCTGACCTTTTTGCCACCGAGAGGCTGAGGCAAAGGGGGCCAGGCTCCCAGGCTCTCCATGGACCCGCCTGCATCCGTCTCCGCCTCCTCTGAGATGGCCTGAGGGGGTCTCTGGTGACTCCGGCCCTGGTCCCGCTGCCGCTGGGCCACCGGGACTCTCACTCACTCACTCACTCATCACTCATTCACTCATTCTGTCATCTGCCAGTGGAGCTCTGCAGTCTGACAAATCTGAATATGAATCCAGGGCACCCCACCCCCACCCCACCCTCCATACCCCCGCATTTACCACCTATGAGATCAGCCCAGAAACTTACCTGCTTTGGACTTCACTTGCCTCATCCAGGAAAGGGGTTTCATATTAAACAGCAGGTACTGGGAGGATTACTGGGAGGACTAAATGAGATGCTACATGCGGGAAGCACTCAACAGCACACTGCCTGGCACGTAGCAAGTGCCCAACAAACGTGGATTCGTTCATCAAAGAAAGGTGCCATTGGGCCCGTGTGCACATCTAATGCTGAATCCTGGGGACTCAGGACACAGTAGGTGCTTAGTTAAACCACTGACAGGACACACAGCCTTTGGCTCTAACTCCAAGGGGCTAGGAGGGTCAGTGTTTCAGTGGTTCTTTTCTTTGACCAGGAGACCCCTGAGAGCAGGTCCCACCAAGGCCTCCCTGGCACAGGGCCCAGCACCCCAGGGTGGGGTGGGGCAATTTGTGAATGTTGGCTTGGTTAATGAATGACTCACAGGCCAAGTCCTCTGAGCCATGTGTAGTTTATGCATTCAGTCCACTCATCCTATATGGTGCCTGGCACTGCACTGGGCGTTGGGACTCAGTGGTGACAAAGACAGACATCCCTGCTTTCACTGAGGTCCCTGGGGAGACAGACACACCCACAGATTTATGAACCAAGGTGATCAGGGCTGTGATGAGGGAAGCCCAGGTGAGCTGGGAGACTCCTGACACCATCTGGGGGAGTCAGGGAGGGCTTCCTGGAAGAGAGGACATCTGAGTTGAAACTTGAAGAATGGGCAGGAGTTGGAGAAGGCAGGAACAAGATCATATTCCTGAGAAATCATGAAATTGTTGCTCTCCTGGACCAGGTCGGGAGCCTCTGCCCTGGTTCAGGGACTGGGGTGTTGGGAGGGGCACACTTAAGGGTAGGGAGGACGAGGAGGTCATGGGGAGGAGGGGGAAATTATGAGTGTGGAGGAAAGCCACAAACAGCTCCAAAAGGCAGGCTAGTACACCGTATTGTGGCTGCAAATTCATAAAGGGGCCAGGAGAAGGAGGAAGATTAGGATTACAGGGGAGATATGAGATGAGTGAGGAGACAGGCCTTCAGGAAACCAAATTTAAGAGCAGTGATTGCTGACAGGCACTGGGGCTTTAAACCCAGCTTGGGCATTTTATACCTGCTCTGTGACCCGGGGCCAGCCACTTTCCCTCTCTGGGTCTTAATTTTTCAACTGCTAAATGGGAGAGATCATGAAACAGACACCACAGAGCCAGGTTCCTCCACCCAGAGGCACTGCTGACATCTGGGACCTGGGCATTCCCTAGGAGGAGGCTGAGCAGTGTCCCTGGTCCAGGAGCATCCCCCCCCCTCCCCGTGTGATAACTACAAACGTTCCAGACATCACCCAGTGCCCCTGGGGGCGGGATCACCCCTGCTGTCCGTGATTATTCTTAGACACCTTCAGATAGGCGGAGGGAGAAGTGGGGCCAGGTAAATGGAGAGGCTGCTGATAAGCAATTAGGGAGGTGGAGGGAGGGTGTTGAGGGCTCATTTTCCCTCTTATATTCAGAGGCGGGGTGACCCCCTCAGGCTTGTCCAGAGAGGAGACTGAAATGGATCTCCCAACTCAGGCCTCGGATTTCCAACTGCTCTCAGCCTGTTCTCCTGGATGATATGCAAGCTCAGAAGCTCCCCCACCACCACCGCCCCCGTAGTGTGCCAAGGGCATTGCCGTTCTCCCAGAGGCTCAGGCCAAATTTTGGTATCATCTGACTCCTCTCTCAGCCCACATCCAATCCAGTGTCCAGCCCCATCACCGAGGGCTCCATCTTGGGGATACCTCCTCCAGGGTCTCCTGCTTCTGCTCCCCTCCCTGGTCCACCAGCTACCTACAGCCTGCATCAGAGCTCCGCACTCTTCTGCTCAAAAGCCTCCAGTGACCTCACCCAGCATAGAATGCAAACCATGCGCAGTGCCCAGGAGGTTCTACAGCAAGGGGTCTGCCAACTGCGGTCCCCCTGGGGCAAATCCCACCTCACTCCGCCCTCACCTGGTTCTGTCCAGCTCAAGAGCTAAGAATGGTTTTCACTCTTATAAGTGGTTGGGGGAAAAAAATCAAAAGAAGAATAATACTACATGACATGTGAAAATTACATGAAATTCACATTCCAGTGTCCATAAAAAAGGTTTCACTGGGATGGAGTTATGCTCATCCAATTTCAAACGGCCTATGGCCGCACACAAGATAAAATGGCAGAATTGAGGCTGGAGGGCCCGTGGAGACAGAAATATTTACTGTCTGGCCCTTTACAGGACAAATGTGCCCACCCCTGCTCGAAACAGTCCTCCTTGTCAACTCCCTGAGCTCATCTCCCCTACCTTTCTCCTGGTCCAAAGCATCCTGCCGCAGTGGCCTCCTTTCTGGTCCTCAGAAACTCTGTCCCACCTCCAGGCCTTTGCCCTTGCTGTGTCCTCCTGCTGGAACAGCCTCCCTCCCCCACCACCCACAAGGCTGGTTCTGTGACTATCAGCTGCACTGGAAGACACTTATTCAGAGAGCCCTGCTCTGACCACCTGATGTCATACTGTGTACCTTTCCAAAAATATTATTTCCTCTTGATCTCTCCATAGAATGTCAGCTCTGCACAAGCAGGAATTTTTTTCCACCTTTGTCACTGTCCCTAACCCCAGGAGGTACTGGATATAGATTCTGCTGGGCCAGTGCAAAATCAAAATACAGGGCCTGTTGTTGAAAAATTATTAAGAATTTCATGACAGGGAGATCAGAGCACTAAACTAAACACAGGGCCTTTCTGAGTGGAGGGGAGGTAGTGGTCTGTGAAGCCAGCCCTGATCTCCAGCCCACAGTAGGTACTCCATAAATGTTTGTTTAATGAATTAAAGAAATAGTGACTCTGGGAATAAAAGTGAGGGAGAGACAGACAGACTTTCCAAGAAACCTGGGCATCAGGAGTTTAGGAATCTCTAAAATTTTCTACAAAACCACAATCTTCTTCCGTATGGGATTTTTCTAAAACCAGAAATAAAGGCAGAAGGTTGGTGGGATTTCAAAGACTAGACTCTGGCTCCAGTTAATCCCCATCTTGTGGATGGAAAGACTGAGGCCCAGAGAGGGCATGAGAAGGCTTAGAGCAAACAGGCACTATGGGGGCCTTGAAGAGAAGGCTGTACTGATAAAGAAGCAGGAAGGAGCAGAGAGGACACACTGGGCAGGAGGGAGGGGCTGGAGCCAAGGTGTGGAGGCTGGACTCTGTGCTGAGAAAGGGGAGAGGAAGGTCTGGAGGGACAGAGGCAGGGCTGCTGCAGTCTCGGGTGTTTGCTTTCTTCCCTCAGGGCCACTGAACAAAAGCTGAACCTGACTCCACCTGCCTGCAGAGAAACAAGCCGGCGGGTAGAGGGACTGATGGGAGCTGGGGGCTGTGGGAGAGGGGATGGAGGAGCATCTTCTCTGCTCCTTCCTCTCCCAGGCCTCCCATCTGCTGCTCCCGCTCCAGCCCAAGCAGGCTCTGCTCAGAGCCAATGCTGCCTCCACCCTCCCTAAAACCCCCAGGGACCCTCACCCGCAGTTTGAGGTTTTAACAACCCCCCGTCCCCACCCCCACACCTTGACTCAGAGCCAGGCACCCATCAAAGCACTGACGGCCCAAATTTTCTGTGCCTTTTTTTTTTTAAGTGACACCAATTTTTTTTTAACAGATTTGACTTCAATAATTCTGCTTTTTGAAATTCAACAATTATATGGTTTGGTTTACCACTGGCTCCAACTTCTCGGGAGTTCTTGGGGGGGAAATGTGAACAATCTAACTAAGAGTCGATTCCAAATGGGATGAAAATTTTAGGATCACTCCACAATGAATGAAGTTGACCCCATGACTCATTTTGTAGGGATTAACAAGCTATTTATTCCTCCTTCTGTCTGTCTGTCTGTCTGTCTGTCTGTCTCTCCCACTCCTCTCCCTCTCTCTTTTCAATCGGCTCTCTTTAACTCCCAAGAAAAGGCCCAATCACATTCATAGTAAAGCCTAGAGAGAAGGCAGGTATCTCACTTCCTAGCTGTGTGACCTTGGGCAAGTTCCTTAACCTCTCTGGGCATCCTTTACGCACTTTTAAAGTGGAGATAATAAAAGCTTCTTCCCCACATGATTGGTATGAGGATTAAATGAGCTGACAAAGCACAAGGTAAGCTCCTTTCACTACTTGAAAACAAATCAATAAAAACAAAAATAGGATGAAACAAAAAAAACTAATTCAGTGACATTCAATTTAAATTTTAAAAGTTAAAATAAAATGAAAAGGAATGTTAAAATTGGTAAGTACTAAAAATAAATGTAAAAATGTATTGGGATGGGAAAACTAGGGGAGGCCCTAGAAGGGTGGAGGTATACCCAGAGTCACCAAGCCAGTCACCAGCAGAGGAAGGACTCAAGTCTAGAGCCACTTGACTTTAAAACCAGGCTTGCCCCAGTACCTCCATTAAATAAATAGATGAATAAACCTATTACCTTCCTCCCCACAACAACAAGAAAGATTAAATAAATAAATTAAGTTAAAAAAAGAATAAAAGCAGGCTTGTTCCCCTCTTTTTGACTTTCAAAGACTCCTCGGGCTGGGCCCTCTCGGCCTCAGCTCCTCCTCACATTCTCTGTTTCAGCCAAAATAACTTCTTCACCACCTCACTGTGCCCTGGATCAACCAGACCCAGCCCAGCCTCCAGACCTTTGCCCACACTGGCCCCCATCCCCCTCCTTGGGGGTCTTCACTTGTCTGAATCTTCCCTGTCCTTCCTCCTCCAGGGAGCCTCTCTGATTGCCTTGGGCCACACCTGCTGGATGGAAAGGCACTGTTGTGGTAGACAGACCAAGGACTCTGAAGTCAGACACGTGCGGGTTTGAATCTTGCTGTTGCCACTTTGCTCTGTGACCAGGAGAAGTGAGTTAACCACTCTGGGCCTTGGTTTCTTTGTGCTGTAATTGTGAAATCTAGCCTGACAGAGGCCAGGAAGGCTGGCTGCCTGACTCCACGTGTGAATCCTCACTTAGTTTCTCTCAGTCTGTGCCCTGGACCAGCCTCCACACTGGCAGGGACTTGGGGTGCTGGGAGGGATGAGGGATGGCTGAGGAAGGAGCATGATCTCTGGAAGTTCACAGTCCAAGATATAGCTGCAAGGGAAGCCACTTCATCCAACCTCAGGGCCTTTGCACTGGCTGTTCCCTCTGCCTGAAATGCAATTCCTGCAAATAGACACACAATCCCCTCCTCCCGTCCCTTCCGGTCTTCGCTGTAATATCAGCTTCCTATTGAGGCCTTTCCTGACAACCTGATTTAAAATGGCAACCGTCTCCCCTGCCCCAGATGTTTCAAATTCCCTTTCCTTGGATTCTTTGTCTCCATGGTACAAAATACGCCTTTTCACTTATTTATCTTGTTTAGTGTCCATCTCCCCCACTCAGCTCCCAGCTCCACAAGGACAGGGGTTTTCTGTACTCCCTATTCGCTGCTGTGCCCTCTGTACCTAGAACAGCATCCAATACAAATATTTGCTGAATACTCAACAGTAAGAAATTGGGGTCCCCAAGAAAGGGAGGCTCCAGAAAAGCAAGTGGTCACTGTAGCTGGGAACTTGGGATCTTCCGGAAGGAAGGTTATTGGAGCCAGATTGTGAGGGATGAGGGAGGATTTATCCAGGGATGGGCACTTCCGGGGGAGGAAACTGGGCACAGGATGGTGGCTGGAAAGCTTGAACTAGTGTTTGAGGAACTAGGAAGTAATGTGGGGATCAGGGCAGCAGGGGGCAGTAGAGAGGAAAGAGAGGGGAGGGGGTCAGAGCCTTTGAACCTATGGATGGAGAGGAACCATGGAAGAGTTTTGAACAGGGAGGTACCTGGTCATGTGGAAGTTGCCAAAAGAATCTGATGAAGGACAGAGACAATGGTCCAAAGGCCCAAGGGATCTTCAGCCAGGCCCTAGAGGACAGGAGCCTGAAGTTGGGGGACACTGGGCATCTCAGTGGCCTCAGACTCACCTCTGTCTTCTTAAATCGTGCCCGGAGGGTCTTCATGGCCAGCGTCTCTGGTTTCTCCTTCCTACAGGCCACCTGGGGAAGGCCAGGGTCTGAGGGACAAGAGTCCTGGTGGACAGGAGGGTCGGCTGCCTCTCACTCCTTAAAAGTAATTCTTCCTCCTCCCTGGGCCATCCTAGCTCCCAGAGTAGGACACAGACCTACCCTATCTCCTAACTGCTGTGTGTCCTTCAGCAGGTCACTTGCCCTCTCTGAGTTTTTCATCCCTCGGCCTTAAAATGCAGGAGTTAATCCCCTCTTGACTGAATCATGGCCAGTTTTCACTGAAGTCCCTAGCAGAGAGCCTGGCAAACAGTAGGTGCCCAATAAATGCATCTCACTAGTATTCCCTGTTGCCCAAGTAGATCAAGCTTCTTCTGGTCTCCAAGTTGTCATCTGTGTAGGTATTTCTGCCTAGAATGCCTTCCCTCTCCTTCTCTAATAAACTCCTATTCATCCCGCAGAACCCAGTTCCCAAAACCTATCATGTTCTAATCAACTTTGCCTCTTGCCAGTAGGCAGAGTTCCAACTCCCAAACTTGGTTCCCCCACCCCTTCCTCTGCCCCATCCCTGGCTCCACAGGCTGGAAATGTCTGGACTGGAACTGTCTTCCCAAATACTTAGGGACTTCTGGGGGGCCAGGCCCAGAGCTGAGGCCTCTTAGCACAGAACACCCTTGCAGCTAAGTCCCTTAAACCAGCCTGGCTTCTGCGTGAGTGAGAGAACAGAGGCAAGTCACGCAAGATGCGTGGAGGTTTGGGGTGATGGCTGTGTGCATGTACACGCACGCATGTCTGTCCAGCTTGGCCTGTTCCGTGTTGCGTGCACATGCAGGTACAGAGGTCAGGCAGGGCGATCTCAGGAGGGTGTTTTGCCAGGTGTCTGGCTAGGACTCCTTCCCGTGTCTGAGTGGGATTTCTATGAAAGCATGTCTTCACCTGTCCCTTCACCTGCCCATAAATTCTCCAAACCATCATTCCATTCATCTACTTACACGTCCATTCACCTGTACATCCATCCAAAACCCAACCACCCATCCACTCATTTATCCATCCACCCTCCCCTCCATCCACTGCCCATCCATCCAGTCACCTCTTCAGTTCACCCTATTCAATCAACGTCCCCATTCACTCACTGTCCACCCCACCCTTTTTCTCTACTCCTGTCTAAAGGACTCAGTCACACCTGGAGCAGAGTGTAGCTGACACCCAAGGGAGGAGTCCACGGGCTGCCTGGGCAGGAGGGAGTCTGTGGGCTTGGGGGAGCGGAGCATACCCTCATCTAGGGAGCTGCTTCCTGAAAGAGGTGATGATGTATCAGCAGGGCCTGATGGCCAGGCAGGATACTGAGCAGCAGCTGTGGGAAAGGAGGGTATGTACCCTAGACGGGGCAAAGGCTGGGAAGTGGGAGGTGCACACATGAAAGTGTGTGTATGTGTGTGTGTGTGCGTGCGCGCGCGCATCAGGGTGCCTGGGTGCCTCAGCATGGCGGGGACGCACACCGGCCTCTCCTGTCTCCCACATGCCGGGGCTCAGGGGCAAGGAGCCCGAGGCCCTAAGGGAAGCCTGCATCTGGGCCGCCCTTACCTCCTTCCTCTCCTACCTCCTGCAGCTCCAGCGACTCCAGTACCAGGCCACCGTGTCCACTGCCAGCTCTGGTTACCTGCTCCCAGCTGGGCCACCAGCTTGCACCAGCAGCTCCCAGCACTCAGCTCTGATACCTGATCAGCTCTGAGCGGGCAGCCGCCCCAGGGGGCCGGGGATGAGCAGAGGGAGGAGACAGGCTGGCAGCGGGGCTAACTGTTGGCCAACGGGCTCTGGCGGGAAGACACCGATGTTCTTCCCTAACATCACTGGACTGATTTCAGTTTCTGGAATGAGCCACCCTCTTTGTCTCTTCCCAGCCTTTGTACTTACTGTTCCTCTGCCAAGAGGCCTCCTTCTGTACCTCATGTCACCCCCCAGCTGGCTGATTCTCCCCACTTCACTCCTACTTACTCTTCAGATCTTTGCTGCAACATCCCTCCTCCAGGAAGCCTTCCCAGGTGCCCCTCAGACTGGATCAGGTGCCTCCTCATTACTTGCCAGTCACTCTAAGTCACCACTGCCTGGTCACCTGTTTGTGTCCATCACTCATCACAAGATGCCACCTTTGTTCGCCAGTGTCTCCCCAGCACACAGTAGGTGCTCAACACGTTTCTTAAATGTCACTAGCCCCAGTGACCTTGAGCAGTTTCTCGAGCCTCTTGGTGCCATCAGGACCTGTCCTGCTGAGTGTTTATCGCCCACTTGGGTAATGTTCAGACAACTGAGAGCGGCGTCCGTGACCCTCCCAAGTGAAGCCCCAATTTGCCCCCGCCCCCGCAACACACGTGCAAGGTACCCTGCATTTGTAAATGTAGAAACTTCTGAAATGTGCAGGGAAAAGAACCTTGGACTGGAAGCATGAATCCTGGCCCCTTCTCTCCAGCTCTGTCCTGGGGGGATGGGGGAGGGTAGGGAGAATCAGTTTACGTATTTGTAGAAAAGGGAGAGCGGGCACTCATCACTTGCGCCCCTCACCTTGGAGGTGACTGGAGAACTCACACATGGGAAGTCTCCCAGTTTCCAGCCAGGTCACTGGACAGCCCTTTTCCCGCCATTCCCCACTTCCCCAGCTTACAGAAGGAAACTGGCTTCTCTTTGCCATCGGTTAATATGGCGACTGCGGCGTCAGCGCGAAGCGCATGCGCCTTGGAAGGGGCGGCCTTGTACGGAGGATGGGAATGCGGCTCCTCCTTCCTCCCCGTCCCACCCCCACCCCCCGTTTCCGGCGGAAGCGGCCGCAACAAGGGAAACTTTATTGTTCCCGTTGGGGCCGCGAGGATGTCGGTGAATTACGCTGCGGGGCTGTCGCCGTACGCGGACAAGGGCAAGTGCGGCCTGCCGGAGGTGAGCGCGGCCGGGGGTCCCGGCGGCCGTCCCCAGGGCGGTGAGCTGGGCGGGGCCGGCCAACAGCGGGGCATTGTGGGAATATCAGGAGACACTGAGGCTAGACAATGGGAGGGACTTCCCAGTGGGGAGGGGCGGGAAGTGACGCCCCAGCGCGCCCCAGGACGCGTACACGCCCAGCTCTGGGTCGGTCAGGCTGGGACTGAGAGAAGGACCCGCGTCCGAGACATCTTGAAGTAATGATGGGAGAGCAGGGGATGTAGTTCCAGGCGGAAGGCACTGCAGGGGCAAAGGCGGGGAAGTGAAAATAAACTTGGAGAACAGATTTGGCCAGAGAGGTTTCCAGAACGAGGCCAGGATGGGCCTAAAATGCGAAACTGGGGCGTTGGCACTATCCTGAGAGTGATGAGGAAGGGTTTTGACCTGGAGAGGAACCTGGAGGATTTAAGTCAGAAAGATCCTCTGGCCACACTAAGAGGAGGTCCTTCCATACACCGAGACCTTGGCCGGGTCATTTCCCTTCCGGCCTCCTCTCGCGTTTTGTAAACTGGTGGGAAGATTGCCGGCATCCCGAAAAGGCTAGGCGGTTCATTCTGAGTCAGGGGTCAGGAGTCAGGCATTTAATGAACTCTCTGGTGGTGTGAAACCCCATTCTTCTCTCCTGTGTTTCATTTCATTCCATACACGTTTATTGAGCGCCTACCGTGCACCAGCCCCTTTCTCTGCCCTGGGGCCACACTGGGGAACCAGACAGGCCAAACCTCCTGGTTCCAGCCAGGAGACCGATGAGGAGCAAATAAATATAAGAAGTCAGATGGTGGTATGTGCTATGGAGGAAAGTAAAGCAGATGATGAGGAGAACTGGGGGCTGCATTGAAACCAGGTGGTGGGGAGGCATCACTAAGATAACTATTTTTTCCCCTAATTTCAAAAATTGTGGTAAAATATACATAACATAAAATTTACTGTCTTAGCCACTTTTAAGTGTATGGTTTAACAGTATTAAATACATTCATAGTCTTGTGAAACCATCTCCACCATCCATCTCATTTTCTCAAACTGAAACTTTGTCCCCACTAAACACCAACTCTCCATCCCCTCCCCCAGCCCCTGTCACTCACCATCTACTTTCTGTCTCTGTGAATCTGACTCCTCTAGGGACCTCACATAATTGGAATCTTACAGTATTTGTGTTTTTGTGTCTGGCTTATTTCACTGAGCATTATGTCCTTAGGGTTCTTTCATGTTGTAGCATGTGTCAGAATCTCCTCCCTTTTAAAGGCTTAATAACATTCCCTTTTATGTATAGACCATGTTTGTTTAGCCATTAATCTGTTGATGGACAGTGGGGTTGCTCCCACGTTTTGGCTACTGCAAATAATGCTGCTATGAATGTGAGTGTACAAGTGAGATGACTTTTGAGCCAAGACCTAGTGGAGGTGAAGAGGGAGCCATGTGGGTGTCTGGGCAAAGGGCATTCCATACAGAGGGCACAGCCCACACAAAGACACTGAGGCTGGACCACACCTTGCGTGTTGGAGGAACAGTGAAGAGGCCTGTGTGGCTGGAGCAGAGTGAGTGAGGGGGTGAGAGGGAGGAGGGAGGGCAGGGAGGAGATAAGGCAGGTGGTGTAAGACCCTGTGGCCTTGAACAGAACTTGGGCTTTTCCCTTGAGAGAGATGGGAGCCCTGGAGGGCTGTGGGTGGAGGAAGGACTTGATGACAGACTGCCTTTTCCCATCCATTCTCCTCCCCGTGGACAAAGACAGGGCAGTTCAGCCTGTGGCTAGTGGCCTTGCACTGTGGGACATGTTTTGACCCCTCCCTTCTGCTTTCTCTCACCCAACAGGTCTTTGACCCCCCTGAGGAGTTGGAGCAGAAGGTGTGGGAGCTGGCGCAGCTGGTCTGGCAGTCCTCCAGCGTGGTGTTCCACACAGGCGCAGGCATTAGCACCGCCTCAGGCATCCCCGACTTCAGGTCCATGGGAGTGGAGGGAAGTTGAGGCAGGGCCTGCCATGCTGCCAGGGGCTTCCCTGTGAGCTCACAGATGCCCAGCCATCAGAACCTATCCTGTCGCCTTCCCTCCCACTGAGTCTGGGGTGATCAGTCAGTCGCCTGGGGTGTTGGGGAAGGCAAAGACCCCTCCTTTTTAAGCTTATCCCGTTAAATCACACCCAACATTCCATGCACACCCCATTGGCCAGAACTTGGTCACCTGACCATACCTAGTGGCAAGTGATGCTGGGAAATGTAGTCTTTTGTCTAGGCTCACTGTGTTTGGTTAAATATTGGAGTTCTGTTATTTCCGTAGAAGAAGGGGACAGTTAGCTCCATACTCACTTGCAAATACTTTTCTGTCAGACCTGGTGGGGCAGGTGGTTTAACCACGCGGACCTCCGTTTCCTCACCTGTAAACGAGGTGTGAGACCAGATGATGTTTGACGTCCCTCTGCTTCAGGCAGCCTGTGTCAGACGAGTCTTGTTGCTGAAAAGCAGGGGTCTCAAACTGGTGGCCCCTGAGTGGCTCCTGTAGGTGCTAAGTTTGCAACCCTACCCCGTAGGGCCAGCCTCTTGCATTTATACTCTCTTTCTAAGGCCTCTCAGGCCCCCAGCACAGACTCTCACAGCAGAACAGATTCCTCATTCTTGGAGGAATGATAGAATTCTAAGGTGTGACGCTCATCCCCCTTCCATAATTGCCACAGCTCCCCATTGCCACACAGGAGAGTTCCAAGTACTTCAAACTGGAAATCGAAGCCCTTCCTGACCCATCCCTGGATCCGCTCTCCAACCTCAGCCCCTGCTGCTCCCGCAGCAGCCACCAGACCACTCACAGGCTGTTGCCAGCCCCCTGGCCTCTGCATACCTCTTCTGTCTGAACTGCCCTGCCCTTTCCTCTGTTCAAGAGACAGCTCAACCTCCTCTCGGAAGCCTTCCCGCAGTCTCACAGAGAGCCCTCACCACTTCCACTGGGCCGCCCCAGCTTTGGGTCCTCCCTCTGCCTCAGCCGTACAGGGCTGGAGGGTCTGTGTCCACCTGTGTGTCTCCCAACAAGACTGAGGCCTCCTCGAGGGCAGGGCCTGGGTCCACTGGGGCCCCAGCATCACCCAGCACAGGGCCAGGCTGAGTACAGCAGCAGTAAGGGTTTGTTGAATAGTTTCTGCCCTTGCATCCCGTGTTCTCCCTCCTTCCTTCCCCTGGACCCCATCTTTGTCTGTGTCAATCTCTCTCTGTCTCTCTCTGATTCTCCATCTTTCTCTGCCTCTGTTTGTCTCTCTGTCTCCCATTCTCTCCCTTCTATCCTCCTCTCTCCCTGCTCCCTAAACTCTGTCTCTCCTACCTGCCGCCTCAGGGGCCCCCATGGCGTCTGGACGATGGAGGAGCAGGGCCTGGCACCCAAGTTCGACACTACCTTCGAGAACGCGCGGCCCACGAAGACCCACATGGCCCTGGTACAGCTGGAGCGCGTGGGCCTCCTCCGCTTCCTGGTCAGCCAGAATGTGGACGGGCTGCATGTGCGCTCCGGCTTCCCCAGGTGCACCCGGTGTCCAGCCCTGCTTGGTCTTGGGTGGGCTGCCCCCTCTGCAAGCCTCAGTTTCCTCATCTGTAAAATGGGCTTTGATGGTAGCCCCTCCCTCTCAAGACCAATGTGGTGATTCAGCCGGGAGAAAGGTTTGGTGCCCAGCTGTCACTGCCAGCACCTCCTGGGCACCTATGGAGAACTGAGGAATCCCCTCCTCCTAGTCCCCAGGCGATTCCAGCCCTGATCCCTGCATCTCGCTCGGCCTGGGCTCCGGGGTCCCTCCTTCTCCACTAAGCATCTTCCTTCTCCTCCCACAGGGACAAGTTGGCAGAGCTTCACGGAAACATGTTTGTAGAAGAATGTGTCAAGTGTAAGACGTGAGTGCTGTGGAGGGTGCGGGCGGGCACACAGGGTGGGGACCACCCGGGGCGGGCTCTGTACAAGGGTCTCGAGAGGTGAACTAGAGACGAGGGCGTGACCCCCCCCCCCAGGGTGGGACCTGGGGGCATGTCTTCCTCCTGGGGAGGTGTATTCACTTCCTGTGGCTGCTGGGACAAACTGCCATAAACTGAGTAACTTAAAACAACAGAAATTGAGGGTCTTACAGTTGCTGAAGCTACAAGTTCAAAATCAAGGTGTTGGCAGGGCCATGCTCCCTCTGAAACCTGTCGGGAAGGACCCTTCCTGCCTCTTCCGGCTTCCGGGAGCGGGTGGGTTCTGGGCGTGGCTCCCGCTGCTGGGTGGGCAGCCTCACAAGTGTGAGCATCTCGGAGGGAGAGGTGCACCGGGCTCCCCTGCAGCTGGAATATTTGAGACCAGTCGGGCCCCAACTTTAAAACATTCTTTTTCTCTCTAAACTTATTTTGAAAAAATTTAAACCTGTGGAAAACTCACAAGAACTTACAATGAACTCACACTTCACCTAGGCCAGGGGTCACAGACTTCCCACACGGGGCCAGATGGTAAATGTCTTCAGCTTTCTGGGCCAGACTCTGGCATGACCGTTGGCTCTGCCCTTGTAACATGAAAGCCACCGTAGGCAACACATCAAGGAATGGGCGTGGCTGTGTGCCAGTAAAACTGTTACAAAAGCAGGAAGCAGAGGGCCAGATTGGATCCTTGTGGCCATAGTTTGCTGACCCCGAACCTGGATTCACCAGTGTCACTATTTTGCCACGACTTGTTTCTCCTTCTCTCTCTGTGTTGCTAGGATTTGCTGTACTGTTCAAGGGGCAGATTTCCTCATCCTTTTCCCTTAAATCCTTGAGACATTTATCTCCCAGGAGACACAGTGCAGTTACTAAAGTCGGGAAATGTAAAAACCACAGAAGGCGATGATTCAATCCTCAGTCCATATTCCCAGTGTTCCCTGGTCCGGGATCCAACCCAGGGAGCCACTGTCAAGTCTCATCCATCTCCTTTATTTGGAATAGTCCCCACCTTTCTCAGTTTCCCCAGCAGTGGGCCTTTTGAAGAAGCCAGGCCAGCTGTTACATGGATGGAGGCCCCCCAGCGCCCCCAGACCCCCATGCTGGGTTTGCCAGATGTCTCCTTGTGTTTAGATTCTGGTTGTGTGGCCCCTGCTTTCCTGGGAGAACAGCTCCCCACAAAAAAACAAGAGGCATCCAGGTGGGGCCGCAGGGTGGGCACACAGGAGGGAGCAGGCGGTGGGCTGACTCACTTTTACCCCTGACACAGGCAGTACGTCCGGGACACCGTCGTGGGCAGCATGGGCCTGAAGGCCACCGGCCGGCTCTGCACAGTGGCCAAGTCAAGGGGGCTGCGGGCCTGCAGGTGAGCGGCCCTCCGCATGCCCTGGACCCCAGGAGAGGTGGTGTGTCTCCCTGCTGACTCCCCAACCCTCCATCGCAGGGGGGAGCTGAGAGACACCATCCTGGACTGGGAGGATGCCCTGCCTGACCGGGACCTGGCTCTCGCCGACGAGGCCAGCAGGTCTGATGGAAGACCAGCCCAGGGTGGGGCTGGTGGGGGAGGGAGCAGAAACAGCCAGCTGCAGCACAGGGGACACCAGGAAAGGATTCCAGAAAGAAGCAGCCCACACCCTCTTTGGGCCTTGCTTCCCCTGTAATAGTGGCAGCTCCTGTGTACTGAGCCCTCACACCCTGGCCCTGGCTAGAGGCCTTACACACACCTTCCTCATCACAGCCCAGGGTGGGGGCTGCTTGGGGCCATTTTACAGACGAGGAAACTGAGGCTGCCACAAGTTGACTCCTCCATCCATGCTGCCCAGCCAGGAAGGGACTGAGCCAGGATTGGAACCCAGGAGTCCCACATCAGCAACTCTACCTCTGCCGACCCGGGTGGGAGGTTCAGGCAGAAGGGAGGCGGGAGGGGTAGGATTCAGGGCAGCTGAGGAATGCGGTGGCTGGGTGCCCTGCCGCCGGCTTCCCCGCCTCCCTCCCCCCACGCCCCCCTACACACCCCAGCCTCACAGGGCAGGAGGAGGACTGCAGATACTCTTGCCAAGGGGCTCAGACTCATCATGCCTCCCGGGCCCCAGGAACGCGGACCTGTCCGTCACCCTGGGCACCTCCCTGCAAATCCGGCCTAGTGGGAACTTGCCACTGGCCACCAAGCGCCGCGGAGGCCGGCTGGTCATCGTCAACCTTCAGCCCACCAAGCATGTACGTTCCAGAGCCCGGCCCTGGCCCCTAACATTGCTGTGGGCCCCCACAAGCCTTCTCCTGACCTGCCCCCACCCCTGCAGGACCGTCATGCCGACCTGCGTATCCATGGCTATGTAGATGAGGTCATGATCCGGCTCATGAAACACCTGGGCCTTGAGATCCCGGCCTGGGATGGCCCCCGTGTGCTGGAGAGGGCGCTGCCGCCCCTGCCCCGCCCACCAGCCCCAAAGCTGGAGACCAAGGAGGAGCCCCCTGCCCAGCACAACGGCCAAGCACCTGCCAGTCCCAAGCAGGAGCCCACAGCGGAGCCCTCCGCCCAGCACAACGGCTCTGGGCCCGCCAGCCCCAAAAGGGAGCGGCTGGACAGTCCTGTCCCCCACAGGCCCCCCAAAAGAGTGAAGGCGGAGGTGGTTTCCAGCTGACCAGGGGGCCTGGGGAGGGCGGGGCTTTTTATAGAAACTATGGATTCTTTTTTTTCTTACTGGTCTCACTTTGTTACTTGTCTCTGTCCTTGGGGGGAGCCCTCAGGGCGCTGAGAGCTGGGCTCCAGACTCCGGGGCAGACTTGCCCTTCATTGCACCCCCCTTTAGCTCTGGGGGCCTGGGAAGGAGCATCCTCTCCCTAGACCCTGACCTTGGAGCTTACACCCCCGGCACCTGTTCCTCCCCCTAGCCCCAGCCCCTGACTCAGGATGTTCTTGGGAGGTGTGGCCAGGCCCTCTCTGGTTTCCAGCCTAAACAGGAATTAACTCCCTCTGCCCCCCAGGCCCTCATACTCCCCAACCCCTGCCTACTCCAAAATGGCCTTCATAGTCCCTCCACAAGGGAAAGGAGGCAGAGCCACCATTTAGGAGCCAAACTTCATGGCAGGACAGACAACAGAGGTTGCACTGCCTTCGGGGCTGGAGGGACAAAGAGGTGGGTCCACTTGGCTTCTACCAGGCTTCCAGAAAAGCCTTCAATGCAATAAAAGCAGAATTTCTTGCATCTGAATCTGTGTTTAACATCCACAACTTTGTGCCAGGTCCTAGTCCCTGGGAGCATGAGTGTGTGGTCCTCTCACCCCCTGGAACGTCTGCCAGCGCGTCCTTGCAATCTAGGCCTGGGGTGAAAGAGGGCCTTACCAGCAGCTGGCATTCCTTGAGCCCTAAGACTGTGGTTATTATCAGCGTTATTTCTTAATATGTGCCCTCTGCTACTAGGCTATGATCCCCTCTAAAGGGATGAGAGAGGTGGCGTCTCCTCTTCGCGATTGAAATCCTCGGGCACCTGCACAAAGCAGGCAGCGCTGCGGCGGGCGACGCGTTAAGGGAAGAGCGCAGGCGCAGTAGGGGAGGGATCAATCCTCCCCTGCTGCGATCTTAGGCGGGTCTCATCTCTTCCGACGCCTCCGTTTCCTCAACCGGTAAGCAAGCAGGGTGGACAGCCCGGGCCCCAGGAAGGCAAATGCCGCAGACCTTCCGCGGACACCCTTGAAGGGCCTCCGGGCCCCCCCAGAGCCTCCAGAACCCTGCGCTCCTGGCGCGCCCTGCGCGCCGCCGGTCGCCGCTCTCCAAGGTGCTGAAGACGCCTCTGGCGCCTCTGTTTTCGCTGCTCCAGCCTAAGAGTCCAAGGTCTCTCCACCTCACTCCTCTCCATTCTAGGCCCCCCAGTTCTTCCTTATGTAGGTTGGAGAGCCCCAGACTCTAATTCAGCCCCTACCTTACTCTGTCTCCACACCAGACGTGTTCTGTCAAAATACTTTTATTAAAGATCACGGCAGTCTTAGAAAAAGGGGTAGCTGTGGGCCATGGCTGCCTGGAAGTTCAGAGCTCAGCCCGTGCTCCGGGACCAGCGTCCCTGCAGTCTTGGCTGGTTCCTCCCCACTGTGTGCGAGGGGGCAGGAGGGAGTGCCTGGGGCGGGGATTTGTTGAGGCCTTGTATGTATATCTGTCTGGATCTGTGGATCAGTCTGTGTATGTCTTCCTGTCTCCTCCTGCACCTGGGTCTGTGTGTGTTTCTCAGGCTTTGTGGCCCTATGGTCACCCTGTGTCTGAGTGTCAGTTTCTGCATATGCCTGGGTCCCTGGGTCTGTAGCTGTGAGTCTATGCATCTCCGTCCTGGTATCTCCGCAAGGGTCTCTCCCTCACCTGAAATCCCTGGGCCTGTCACTGTCCACTGCAGCACCCTCGAGCAGAGGGGCCTGGGGGCATGTCCCCGTGGTGCTCACAGCTCCCCACCTGCCGCCTCCAGCCCCACTTGTCCTGGGCTGAGTGCTGGCTTAGGCGGAGCACAGTCCAGCAGAGTGGCCCGATCCAGCTCCTTCATCTCAGTGCCCTGGACCAGGGTCGAGTTGTCTAGATCCTCTGTCGAGTTGTCCACAGATGGCGTGTCCCGGGATCCCCAGTACCCCCCGGGGCTGCCTTGAGACCCTTCCTGAAGTACACCAGCCTCGGGCCAGGGTCCTGGGGCCTCGGAGCCTGGTGCGGCATCTGGGGCCACTCGAGATGCAGCGTCGTTGTGCAAAGTTCTGGAGAAAACTGAGCAAGGGTTGGGGAGGCATGAGGGCTGGGCTGGGTGGGGGGTTGGTGTCCCTTATTTCCTTAGCTCCCAGCCTCAGGGAGCAGTTGCAAGGGGTCCAGTTCCCCAGAGACCCAGTATAGGGGCTGGGGAGCCAAGGGGAGTGTGCCCACGGTGAAGCCCAGAGAGGTTTTGAGGGAGGACTGACCCATGTCCACCTACCTCGCACAGGTGTGAAGTCTCCGGGGCTCTCGGCTTTGTTGGAGGCGAAAGGGCTGATGGAAGGGAGGACGATGAGGGCGAAGGAAAAGAGCAGGACCTGGCAGAGATGGGGGCAGGGTCACCGCGTCCCTCCCCCTCCCCTGTGAGCACACTCATCTCAGAGGCAGGGAAACCAAGGCCCAGAAGACTGGATCATGCTTGAGCTGGGGCTCAGGGCCATTCTCCTACTCACACTCACCTCCTCCCACAGGCCCCTTTGCCAAGGCTGAGGATCGCCTCGGAGCTAGGGGCCAGGACTCACCGCTATGCAGGTGCCTGTGTGAGCTGACTTGGTGGTGGACTGGACCACAATGGCCTGGAGTTTTTTCAGCTGCTCCAAGAGGGACCTTGGGGGAAATGGGTAGGCTTGGCTGAGCTCTACATGGCTGACTGGCTCCTTGTCCATTTTGTGATTCCCCCGCCCAGCTGAGGGCTGAGTTCTGAATCCCATACATCCCTCAAGGCCCCACTGATCTTAAAAGTCCCAGACCCTCCCTCTTTGCTCCTATCCCCTTCCTGCCTCACCTCCTCCTTCTCTCCCCATCTCTCATTCTGCCCCAGACAAATAGCTCCCTCACTCTTCCTCCAACACACAAGCATTCCTGGCCCGGGGCCTTTGTACTAGCTGTTCCCTCTGTACCGAGGACACTGTTCCCCCAGGTCTTTTTGTAGCTGCTTCGTCCTTATCCATCAGGTGTCATCTCAAATATCACCTTATCTGATCTCTCTCTGTCTAAAACAGCCCCCTCTTACTTTTCTTCCCAGTGACAATCACTATTTGAAAGGTCTTTTATAATTTTTGTTTGCCTTGAGTATGTTTCCCACAACACTGAGTTCTTTAAGTGGAGGGGCTGTGTCTGTTTTGCTCACTGTTGGGGTCCCAGTGTCCAGAACTATGCCTGGCACGTAGCAGATGCTAAATAAAAATGGACTGGGTGGATGTACCCCATAGACGGAATCACCTGCAGTTCTACACAACATACTCCTAGCCTTTGCCCATTCATATGCTAATTCCCCCACTGGGAGCATCTTCCATCAAGTGAACTCCTATACATCCTTCAAGGGCCCAAGTTCAAGTCCCCTCCTCTATGCAGCCTGCCCATTTCTAGGTGGAGCCCTTACCCCCTGATCTGCCCTGCCAACACACAGGCTATACCCCCATGTCCACCTCTCCTGCAAGAGACTGTGGAGCCAGCTCCCCTGTCCTCTGCCCCGGCTGGATGAAGACTCACAGGTTCTGCTTCTCAAGATGTAAGACCTTCCTCTGAAGCTCCTGGTTCTGGGCAGTACAGGCTGACATCCTGCAGGGGCAATGTCACAGAGACATTCAGAATATGCCTGTCATCAATAGGTCTAACTAGTATCTCTTTGTGAGGGTCCACTTTATAGGCAGGGAACCCAAGGCCAGAGAGGGGAAGTCATTCATCCAAAGGCACCCTGGTAAGTCTGTGACAAAACCAATATTCAAACACAGTTCTGCCTGGCTTCTAGGTACCATCTTTGCACGGATGTGGAGGCTTTATTCCAGCCTGAGCACCCAGGATTGGGAATGGAGTGCCATACTCAGGCAGTGATGCTTCCCGTATGCATACACCTGTGAATGTGGTCTTGGCCCAGACCACTCAGATGCAGAGTCAAAACTCTCAAATCCTGGCATGAGAATAGTTAGTCCTCATATCCCAACCAGGGAAGAGAATAAATTCCCCTACTAAAAGGCTCTCCTTCTAAATACATTATGGGATAAAGAAGAATCCACAGTGTAAATTAGGGAAGACCTAGGGACTGTATGGTAATGACAATGGTACAAATCCACATATGTAAGATGCAGCTAAAGCAGTGCTGAGAGGAAAATGAATAGCCTTAATACAGCTTAACCAGCTGAACGTACACATTTAAAAGTTAGTGAACAAACAACAGAATAAACTCCCCACCAAAAAAAAAAATCAGTGAAAGACACAATAAAGCTAAGAGTAGAAATAAAAGAACTAGAACACAAAAATACAGTGGGGTGAGAGGAAAGTCCAGAAATTCATTCTTTGAAAAGAATAATAAAATAGACAAACTTTTGGCAAGACTGACAAGGTAAAAAGCAAGAGAAGGCACAAATACACAATATGAGTTACTTAAAAGGGCATAACTATAGATTACTCAGAGCTTAAAAATAATAGAAGAAAAATAATAGAAGAAAATAATGAAGAATTTTATGTCAATATGTTTGAAATGGACAACTTTCCAGGAGAATGTGACATCCCAGAATTGACTTGAGAAGAAATAGAAAACCCAAACAGACCTGTAACATGATAAAATCACTTTTGGTTTAAAAAGTGAACAAGCTCAGCTCCTATGTTTCTATTAAAAAATGATAAGAAGCCTACCCCTCACTACCCTAAATGAGTTGAGAGAGGTAACTGGATGAGATTGGGGTGCACAATTCTTAAGTTGAGGAAATTGGGCCTTCCTTCTTCCTCACCCAAGGAAGCCATGGCAGCTCTCAGGACCAGCGATTTTCAGACAAGGGAAGTAAGTGTCTCATCTTCAAGCAGAGAGCCAGGACTAGATGAATGATACCGTCCCCTTTCTTGAAATCACATATGCTAGCAGACAAAGAAACCTCGAACCCGAGCCCTGTACCACCTGTAAGCATTTTTCATCCTTGCCATTCACATGAAAAACGGTCTCTCCCAGAGAAGGAAGCAGCTCTAATTTCGTCAGGTTCTGAAAACTGTGACCTTAGCCCCACTGCATCATCCCTCTCTCGGACCTCAGTTCTCCCGGGAGTGCAGAGTCCTGGGGCCCCAGCCTTACCGAGTTTCCAGGCCATCAATATATTCCTTCTTCTTTTTCCGGCTTTCTTGTGCCGACTGTTTGTTTCGGATTTTCCGGCGAATTTTTTTCAGCACTCGTTCCTCATACTGCAAAGTGACACAGGGAGGTGGCTGAGTCAGTCCGGAGGATCCATTCTCCCTACAACTTCACGCCGTTATCTTCTCATGGGAGCCATCCCAGACTCAGGTCTACCCTGGGGGCAGACCCCTAATGACTTGAAGACCAGGTTTTCTGCCCCTGAATTCCTGCAGAGCCTCTAGGCGGGGGTTCTGGGTCCCAGCTCCCAATCCCAGTCGGTCACTGGGTACCGACTTTGTGCGCTGGTGAAATCGCGCCACCTTCTGGCCACCTTGGGAACAGCGCCCTTCCCAGTGCCGGTTGTTATCAAGACTTAGAGATGTCTTCAGACTGGAAAGGCAAATTTGGGTATTGATGCTTAGTGAACAGGCTGGGTGGGGACTGTGGCCAGCCAGAGAGCCCCACTGAGTTGTCTCTGAGGATGATTTTTCTGACTCCGATAACCGACACGTCCTAACATTCTAATGCAAGAAACCTAAAGGTGAGACTCGTGGGCAGGTAGCTGCAGGAAAGGGGCAAGCCTGGTAGCCAGGGGCCCCACTGGCTCACCTTGGTGAGGGGCAGCTGTGTGGGCAGGGTGATGCCTTCTTTGGCCAGCAGCTTCTTCTCATCCTCCGTCAGCACCAGCTCCTGGCAGTGCCCGGTCCCAGGTCGCAACAGGTGGGGGGCTGCCAGGTGATGTTGCTGTGGGGAAACCAGGAGAATTGCTTTAGGGCTAGTGAGAGCTTTGGGGAAATAAGAGACATCAGATCTGAGAAACTATCGATCCGTCTGCTGTAGCGTGCCCGCTGGCACTAGGGCTCAAAAGAACCAGCGCACAGACCTCTGACCCAGCAATTCCACTTCCAGGAATTAATCTTACAGATACAAGTTTGTCATTTGTTTAACAAATAGTCACTCGACAGCTATGTATTTAGCACCTACTCCATGCCAGGCACTGCTCTGGGCTCTGAACACTCATGGCAGTGCCGTCTGCAACAGCAGAGGGGAAATCCGACAAACAGGGACAAGCTAAACAAGCGAGCCTCCGGGAAACAGGGGTGAAGGGCGCGTCTCCCCACGTGCCCATTTGTACATTTGGAACTTGGACTGTGTGAGTGCATTTGCCTATTGCAACAATTTTAAAATTAAATTTAAATTATGAAATAGAAACACTAAAAATTAAAGAATCTTGTCGTCTGAGTGCCAAGTCTTAGCAATGTCACAGGGTGGAATGGGAGGCTCAGGAGTAAAGGGGGAGACTGGGGCAGTCTCCCATTCATCGGATCAAACTCCACTCCCTAGAATTCCAGACCATCGATCAGCACAACCATTGTCTCTCTTAGGGTCCAAACCTCAGTGTGCTCATCTGCAAAATGGGGATACGATCTCCTACTTTCCAAGGTCATCCACACACAGATATGCAACAATATTAAACTTAATGCATTTACAAAGGCCAGTTAGCATTTCCAAAGTAGTCATTCATGTTTCCTATCCTTCAAGACCTGCTGAAGTTCTGCCTCCTCCAGGAAGCCTTCTTGGACTTGCCTCTCTCTTTATCAATACACTTCCATGAGTAGTCAGTTGTCCCCTCTTGACCATGAGGTCCTCAGGGGCTGAGTACACAGCTGGTGATCACCTCACATCTCTTAAGTTGGGAGGGGCATTCTGGCCTTGTTTCGAGGTTGTCAGGACAACTTTGGGCATCAGGCAAACTGGAGTTCAAATCCTGACTCAGCCACTTGTTTGCTGTGTAACTTTGTGGCTTAACCTCTCTGGGCCTTGGCTTGCTTATCTGTGAAATGGGGACACTAATTGGGTTGGCAGCTCTGGTTTACTGATAGAGGAAATAGATGGCCCTTGGTCAACATGCAATGGGCACAATAGGTCCAATGGGCCAGCCCAGGAATTGAGCCTGCAGCAGCTGTGTGACTTAGGGCAAATTACTGAACCCCTCTGTGCCCATTTGCTCCTATGTAAAATTGAGATAAGAATCTGAATCTTCATGGGTTGCTATGAATTAAGAAATAACCCATTTAACCACTTAGAAGCGTGGCCGACCTATAGCAGGTGCTCGGTGAGTTTCAGCTATTATTATTATTTTTTTACTACCACTATCGTAGGACGTGCCCCAGCCCCGGAGACAAGAGAACTCGAGACTGGGACCTGCTGACTTGCTCTGCATGTGACCTTGGACAGACGTCACCCCTGTCTGTGGCTGCCTTCCAGTCTCTGAAGTGGAGGCAGCGGGGCACCCGGGACCGCCGCCCCCCAGCCCCGCCGCCCCGGCGGACGGGCAGGGCGGCTCACCGCGGCCCCACCGCTGCCGGAGAGCAGGAGGTCCTTCACCGTGGGGCTGCGGCGCGGAGGCAAGTCGGCCGGCCCAGCCCGCTCCTCGGTGTGCAGTCCTGGGCTCCACGCTTCTGACGGGGCAGGTGGGGAAAGAGACAGGGAGACAGTCGGGGGGGGCCCTGAGGTCCCAGCTTCTACCTGCTTCCTCCAGCAAAGCTCCCAGGACTGACCTCGGTGTGCTAGGGACTCGTGGCGCAGCTTAGGGCCCCCGGGCCTGGGTTGAAGGGGGCAGCCCCAACTGATGCCTCAGTCTTCCTCTGCCACAGCACAGGAACCCAAGTTCATCAGGACTTTATCAGGAGCCCGCTGCCAGCCCAAGAGGGAGCGGCCGTTATCACCCAGGATTAAAGGCTAGATCTGCAGCCAGCCTGGCCTTATCGCCCCCTCGGGGCAGGGACCAGGTCTGATTCACCTGCGGTTCCCTCCCACCAGGTACCTAGCACACCATAGGTGCTCTGGAGAGCCCCAGACTTCAGTCAGACAACCTTCGGTTCTAATCCCCGACCGGGCAGAGCTGTGTGACCTTGGGTAAGTGATGAAACGTCTCTCAGCCTTAGTTTTGTCAAGTCTCCAATGGGACAAATAGGAGCTCCCGCCCCACTGCGAGGCTCAGGAGGCAAAAGATGCCCTGCTGGGGGCATCTTCTGCACGAGACTTGTTCCCCAGATCCAGAAGGTGCACCCCAAGGCCTGAGCTCCCATGACCTCACACACTTTCACTGAGCATCTACTGGGACCCAGGCATGGGAGGCACAAAACCGAGGTTGCCAGCATGGTGTCTGGGGCTGGAGTCAGCCTGGCAGGGTGGCATCCCAGCTCTGTGGCTCTTTTTTTTGAAACTTTTTTAAAATGGAGATACTGGGTATTGAATCCAGGACTTCATGCATGTTAAGCACACACTCTACCACTGAACTCCACCCCCCCACCCAGCTCTAAAGCTCTGACTCATCCCCTAACCATCTGCAAAATGAGCCCACAACAGCGTCCGAGCACCCACCTCAAAGGGCGGGTATGTGTGTACAGTGCCTGGAACAAGGTGACGGTAGTGAATGAAGACACGGAACTCACCCAGGTCTATGGCCACGGAGGCCTCGAGCCCGTGGGCTACTGGCCCAGGGTGCCTGGTGGGGCAGGGGGGCCCAGGATGGTAGGAGAGGCAGAGCTCCTTGCCAGACTCCGTGGTTTGGCAGCTGACTGGGGTGACAGCCACCCCACCACGTGGAGGGGTGTCTTGGGGGTCAGAGGGCAGATCTTCTGAGATGCCACTGTCACTGCCTGCAGGAGACCAGGTCGGGGAGTTGGGCACTGAATCTCCAGAACCCAGAATGGAGTTGAGGAAATCATCAGAGTCCGGGCCTGGCAGGACCTGCTGGGAGGGAGAAGGATGAGTGGGAATTAGGAGGCCTATGCTTTGCTTTGAATCGCTGTGTGACTCTGGGCAAGCCACTGACCCTCTCTGGGCTTCACTTATCCCTTCTGCAAGGTGGAAAGAACTAATGTTCTTGCCTCTGGTGTTGGTGCCTGAAAACAATCCGACCATGTTGAGGCACGAGCCCCAAGCTGAAGTCTGAGCCCAGCTCCAAAATCCTGTGTGACCCAGGACAAGTTACCACCCCTCTCAGGGCCTTGGTTTCCCCACCTTTAAGAAGGTAAAGTCACCTGCCCCTTAGGATAGCTGAGAGGTTAAGCACAATAACGTGCTTTGCTAAAATCGCCCACCATGAGCAGTGAATGCACAGAGCTGAGCGGAGTTCTGGCTCTGGCCCCCAGTGCCTGCAGTCGGTTATCACCTGATCGTCGACATGGCCCCAGTCCTCGCCCAGCTCTATGTGTCTCAAGATGCCATCCTGCCTGTCAAACAGGAGATCCAAGAGCTCCAGGCTGTCGATGGGGCCCGTGGGACTGGTGGAGGAAGTCATCTGGGGCAAGGAGGGGACATTTGTGAGGTCACTTAACCCCTCTCCTCCCCATTACCCATCTGCACACCACCCCAAGGTCCGTCCCACTCCGGTTCAGTCCCGGCTCAGTCCCCAGGCTGGGCCTGCCGCTCCCACTTGCTAAGCCTTGGTCTCCAAATCTGTGCTGTGAGGCTGACCCAGACACTCCGGGACCTGAGAGCCAATTTCTTTAAAAAGTGCTTGACAGATGCTCCCGTGGGGGTGAGCGGCCTTCTCTTATATTCCCATCCTGCCCAAATTCCCCCCTTCTGGAAGGTGGGGGAACTAGAAGAAAGACCAAGAGCAGCCCCAGAAAGGAGGCACTATTTTGGTCATTACATGTTTCCTCTGGGCCTCAGTCTTCCCATCTGTACAATGAGGTGTGAGGTTCCTGCCAATTCTGAGAGCTTGGGCAGTGTTCCTGGCATAAATCCTCCCTCCCCCGTGGCAGGGCTCACCTTTCCAGCCGCTAAGTCCCCATCCATGAGCCCGACCAGCTCTGTCTCCAGACACTTCTGTGTCTGCTCCGAGCTGGAGGCTCGCCCCACCAGGGCTCCCCGGCTCAGCCTGCTCCTCTCTGTGGCTCTGTCACCACCCCCAAAAGATGCTGAAATAGTCAGGAGGAGCTCCCAGACCACCCCCGGGTGCTGATTGGGGAACAGGCAAGACAGACAGGGTTGAGGGCCAGTGACACCGGGGCAGGCTTGGGGGAGGGGAGGGAAGACCGTTATCTCGATGTTTCGTGCTTTTCCTGCCGGCAGAGGGCAAAGGCCAAAGTCTGGGGTGCTGCCGCTCTGCCATGACCTCTCCCCTACTTTCAGGGACTGTTTCTTGTCATAGTCCCTGGACATCAGCTCCAAGAGAGCCCAGGGTCCTGGCTGGGTCCTGTCTACTCCCAGGAGAGAGCAAAACCAAGACAGCCCAGGCCTCCGCAGAGCCATTCCCTCTGCCAGGAGCTTCCCTGCCCATCGCAGCTGGCGAGCCCCTACCCACCCCCTAGCAAGCCCTCCATGGCCAAACCAGAGCAACCAATTCCTTCTAGAATCCTCTGTCATTCATTTGTTCTCAACAAATATTTATTAGTTCTTTTGGTGTGGGGAGGTAATTAGTTGGCTTTTTTTTAATCCATATATTTTTAATGGAAACCCTGGGGATTGAACCCAGGACCTTGCGCATGCTAGGCATGCACTCTAACCCTGAGCTATACCCTCCCTTCAATAAATATTTATTGAGCCAAACTTATTCCCACCTCAGGGCCTTTGCACTAGCTGTTCTCTCTGCCTGGAACTCCTATCCCCTCCACTCCAACTCTGGTCACTCTGTTCACATATTTGTGAATGTTTGATATTTGTGGATCCCAGCCCAGATGGCTGAGAGGCTGTCTCTGACCCCCCAACAGAGAGGGGCCCCCATCCCGTACTTCTTTATCACATCACTGTTTTCACTGATCCCCTCACTATTTGAAATTCTCTCATTTGTTCACTTGCCTATATTCCTCCCTCATTCCTCCCCTGCCCCTACATGTAAGCACCTTGGGGCTAGAAGAGAGTCTCTTTTATTCTCTGCTGGGTGCCCAGTGTCTAGGAAATGCTCAGCACACAGGAGGTGCTCAATCAATGCTTACTCAACACAGGGGGAACAACTCAGTGGCAGAGAACACGCCCAGCTGCGCAAGGTCCTGGGTTTGACCCATCAGAATAAATAAGTAAATAAATAAACCCAATACCCCCCCATCACACACACACACAAATGGAAGTAAGATACAGACATATATATATGTGCTTACTCAATGAACACCTCTTGTGTGCCAACCACTATTTTAGGCACTGCAGATAAGGTAGCAGATGAGCTAGACCATAAATGCATAAACACATCAGAAAACTGGTCAATGGGCAAATGCTACCAAGAAACTAAATGTAGCCACAGAAAAGGGCAAATAGAGGGCTGGCAAAGGCTTCTTCTAGAAGGTGACATTTAAGTACAGTTCTGAATGATGAGACGGAGTCAGCCACCGGGAAAGGTGTTTCAAGTCAAGGAAACTGCATGTGCAAAGGCCCTGGGGCAAGGCAGTACCTGGCATGCTGGATGAACAGTGAGGGGGCCCGTGCACCTAGAACAGACTGAGTGAGGGGGAGAGAGGGAGCAGGTGAGGAAAGGAGGGGACGAGGGCTGGTCATGCAGGGCCTTGCAGTCTGTGGGAAGGAGTTTGGTTTATACTCAATACAACAGGAAGCTGTTGGGAGCTGAGTGAAGGCATGACTAAATCAAGTCTTCTGTGTGCCAGGCATGATGCTAGGTGCTAGGTTTACATGCAACTCAGACATGCTCCTTGCTCGCAAGAAAGTCACATCCTGGTGGGGAGAAGGGGTGGGAAGGGATAAATTGGGAGTTCGAAATTTCTAAATATTAACTACGATATATGAAATAGATAAAAACCATATTTCTTCTGCATAGCACAGGGAACTATATTCAATATCCTGTAGTAACGTATAATGAAGAAGTATATGAAAATGAAGATATGTATGCATATGTATGACTGAAACATGATGCTGTACACCAGAAATTGACACATTGTAACTGTCACATTGTAACTGACTATACTTCAATTAAAAAAAAAAAGAAATTCACATCCTGGTGTATGTTTCTCCATGGACCAGTAATTATTTATTCATACAACAACATTTAATGAAGACCTGCTCTGTACCATGCCTGATGTGGTTCTCTTATCTGACAGTGGCATCCGTGATTATCGCAACTGGGGGTGCTCCTGGCACAGAGTGAGTGGGTGCCAGGGATGCTGCCCCACATCCCACAGGGCCCAGGATGGGCCCCCAAGGAGAATGCCTAGCCCTGGTGTCACAGTGCCTAGCACGAGAGACCCTGCCTTCCGGTACCTGCCCGCCTCTGGGTGCTGGTGCCATTCTCACCCTCGGCCTTTGGAGCTCTCTTATGTCCTTTTTAACTCTGTGCTGGACTTCGAAGGGATTTGTGAGGTTTGGTTTGGCTTTAGCAAGCCCTGTCACAATATTTATTCAGCCTTTGCTGTGGGGGCACAGTCTCTCCTGGTGTAGAAAGTAGGTGAAGTTTGACATCTGGACTTGTCATTGCCTCTTTCTCACCCCCATTAATGACTCTCAAGAGCCCCAGTGCCCTTGACATAGCACTCTTCTTCCTCCTCTTCCCAAAATCTGCCAGAGGAAAGGACCTGGCATTGCTCATTTACACCTTCGTGTAGATTTAGACCCCATAGTTCCCCCTGCAGGATATTTGTTTTTTTGTAATTTTATAATTATGAACTTTAGAAGGCTTTTAAATGCCCCCAGTAAAGAGATATCAGAAAAGGTAGGATAAGGACAAGCATTTGAGGGACAAGAGGACTTTTTGATGCCCTTGACGTCATATGATCTAATTTCCTGGACACAACCACATGCCTCGAAGCAATGCTTAGTTGGAATCTAAAGTAAAATTCCCACAATAGATGCCACCAATGTGTTTAAGTGTGAGACACAACACGAGAGGATGTCATGGTCAAACAAGATTGAGGACCAACTGTGCTAATAAACAGCTTTACAGGACTTGTCAGAGCCTTTATGTACACTTCTCTGTAATACTCTTGGAGGAGACAGAGTTTGTAGCATTTCCCAAACATAATTGTGTAAGTGAGTTTTGCTTTGAATTTTTGCTTAATTCATACTGAAACATTTCTGACATATGAAAACGCTTATAAAGATGTTCACTAGAATGACTACAATAAAAAAGACAATATCAGATGTTGGTGGAAGATATAAAGCAAATGGAAGGCTCACCCATTGTTAGTGGGAATCAAAATGACCCAAACAATTTGGGAAACTTTGGAAAATTGGGCAACCTCTTATAAACATGTACTTACCATATGTTCACAAAAAGAATTGTACAAATGTTCATAGCAGTCTTATTCATAATTGCCCAGAACTGGAAACAATTCCAATATTCAACAACAGCCATAAAAAGGAGCAAGCTGCTAATACATACCACAACGCGGATGAATCGCAAACGCATTGTGACAAAAGAATTCTGACATAAAAGAATACATGGTGTATGATTCCATTTATATAAAACCCAAGGAAGAAGTGAAAGTAACTCTTTAAAAAAATTTTTATTGACGTATGATCAGTTTAAAATGTTGTGTCAGTTTCTGGAGTACAGCATAATATTTCAGTCATACAGAAAGTAATTCTTGGTGATAGAAAGTGGTTGCCTGGAATAGAGTGGGGAATTAAGTGAACAGGAACATGAAGGAAGTTTCTAGGGTGGTGAAAATAGTCTATATCTTATTTTTAATCGTGGTTACATGATTGTACAGAATCATCAAAACTCATCAAATTGAACATACCTAGGACCTGTGCACTATTGTAAAAAATTAATTCTGCCTCAATAAAAAGCACACAAAATATATAATGAACAACCAAGTATGTAATACATTTACTAAAACATTAGAAATAACCAAAATACCCCTCAACAGGAGACTGATTAATAAAGTCTGATTCATTATCACGATGGAATATTATGTAGCTGTGAAATGAATGAGGATTATTCTTTATGTACTGAAATGGGATAATATTGAAAATATATAGTTATATCAGTGTTTCTCAACTTCTTAAAATTTTTTTAAAATTTATTTTTATTTTCGGGAGGGGTAATTAGATTTGTTTGTTTGTTTGTTTGTGTGTTTGTTTGTTTTAATGGCGGTACTGGGGATTGAACCCAGGACCTTGTGCATGCTAGCAAGCGCTCTACCACTGAGCTGTACCCTCCCCCTCAACTTTTGTTAATGCTTACCTCCCACAAGGAGCCTTTGAAGACATTTTTTCTAACTGCTCTCCCGGAGAATTGCAATATCAAGTATATACTACATATATGCTTGCGTACTGTATGTATATCTGTGCTTTATACATTAAAAGGGTTAGATCTGTTCACCTCCTAAGAATTAGTGTTCACTCCCCTTGAAGACAATAACTTCTACGTTGAAAGTGCACCATTTAAGTAAAAAACTGAAGGTGCAAAACACAGGATACTGTCTGTGTGTGACAAAAGGAAAAATGAATGTATGTATTCATTTCTTGTGTATTCCTAGAATATTTTGGGGTTGGGGAGCCGGGAGCTGGCCTTGAGGAGGACGAAGGCTTTTTCCTGCACAGTTATTTACACTTTTGGAATTTTGAGCCATGTGCCTGTTGCACACATTCCAAACAAAGAAATTTAACTTAAAAAAAAAGAATAAAACAATACACATAAAATGCAAAGCATACCTTCTTTATAGGTTCCCAAGTTTTCTAATACAAGCTCACCTTGTATTAAAGTTAGTGTTTAGGAGTTCCCTCTCCTACAAAAGTAAATGGATCCACCTGGGTCCTCACATTCCAGCATTCCCACTGAGACTAGATGCCTCCCCTGTAACACTCCCTAAATAAGGTGATGCGTCCCTTCCATTATTTTGCTTTGTTCTAATGTGAACGCTACCATTTCCATAATTGCTAGCCAAGTCCTGCCAGGAGGCAGTTCACTGTATCCCTGCTTTTCTCACTGATCCCTCTTCTTTTCCATCTCTAAAGTTACCTCAGGTGGTTTCT